CATGTAGAAGTTTGATTTAACATCTTGATTTAACAGTATTTAACACAAATCCCCGCATTTGGATTGCAAAACTAAGGCAGGGAGGTTGATGTTCTTTCATTACCTGACAAATTGATAAGTGTCACAGGTCCAAGTGGCGACATCGTACATCGAAGCCACCGAAGCGGTGCCTTCTTCTCTTGAAAAACGACAGAATTTGGAGATTTTGAGGGGATGTTTCTGAAGAATTTATGAAACAATCCCGAATCCCGATCCCAGATCCTTCTTCTCCTCCTCCTTCTCACCTCACGCGGAGCGATTGTGCGCGATGCCGCGTCACGAGACGCATCGATCGAGACAGAGGAGAGGCGAAACATGGGTGAAAAATATCGAAAAGACATCGGACGGATGCAAGACCTGGAGAAAAGTCTGGTGGATCTGACACAGAAACTCTGAAAACGATCCGTTTTGGATCCAAAAAGGAGCACCTGCAGAAACTTGCACGGCCAGAAGCAACACTCAGATGCTTCTGAAGTCTCCTCCCAGAAGTGAAAAAACAACTCGATTCCAAAAAGACGTGGACCACAAGGTGTCCGAGACACTGCTTTCACTTCCCTTCTTCTTCTCCTCTTTCTCCTCCTCTTTCTCCTCCTCTTTCTCCTCCTCTTTCTCCTTCTCCTCCTCTTTCTCCTCACCCACAGCCCACATGGCCCGCACCAAAAGCATGCGTCCGGTGGATCCACCCCACCATCTTACCACCGACGAAGAAGCACGAATCCCCCCGCCGCGACCGGCGCGACCCCAACGACGACGCCCCGAAACCATCCGAAATCTCTCGATGTGACGATGCTCTGCCGATGTGAGAGGGATTGGATTTGGACCAAAAAGAACACCTTTGCATCGAGCTGAAGGTTCCCGGAAGCTCCCAAGAACTGCTATGCCCTGCTATGCCCTGCTCCTCATCCTTCTCGTCCTTTTCGGCCTCCTTCTCCTCCTTCTTCTCATCATCACTGTCCTCGAAAAACCGGAAGTTTGATCTACTTGGTCACTGCTCAAATTTTGGGATGCCAACATGTCGTCTGACGGCGCGTCATTCGGTCGGAAAGATTGGGGAACATGATGGAACATGGAACATATATTGGAAGCATGTGGAACCTGGCACCGGCCGAATCCTCATTCACATGGCGGCCATCTGGCCGATTTGCGAGCACCAGCCTCCGTTCTTTTTCGGGCAGAGACCTGTAAACTCGTCAGAACAACCAAGATCTTGCCAAGGGCGTCGAGGGCCCGGAACGTCGAAGACCTTGGGGCTGAAGCTGGGGTCTTTCAACCCGGCAATCACCCCGAACGTGTGGTAGAAGTGATTCTCAGCTGGTATGAGTCAGATTGAGTCAGTATGAGTCTCTGAATTATACAATTAGCATCAATTATAGCCCTATAAAACTCGAAGCGACACCTCCTTAAAGAAGCAGAAAGGAGTTGAAAGGAGTGAGCTCTCAAAGCTTCGGGGCTCGGTTTGCTTGCCGAGTCGTTGACCCCCGCTTCGGGGCGCCGGTTTTGGCGCGACGGAACGTCCACCTGGCCATGGCCGAACGGATTTTTGCTCGGCCTGGCCCTGCGGGGTTGATCCACTTCATGCGGCAAAAACCCCTTGCGAATAGACATGCGGCTTGGCCGAGGTTCGGAAGATGGAAAGGCTCACAGCGAATCGGTGCCTTCCATGGTGTCAAGCCGTATGAAAGACTAGGAATTGCCTCAGCCAGGATCGCCTTACGAAAACATGACCCATGGAATTGGCATAGAATCTGAATTGCCTCACCCAGGAACGCCTGGATCGTCGCCTTTTCACCTGTCTGTGCCAATCATCAACTTGGTGCCGAACAAACCGGTCAAACATCCCTCCGGCAGACGTCCTGTATGTCATCTCTGTGGTTGAACAAGACTCAAGATGGCTCAAAATGGATCTGACGTGGCCAGCAACCCAGTGGAAGGCACCGCAGTGCAGCAAATTCGATGCACGTGTTTGAAGCGCCGGGCAGAAGACGTGCGAGGAAGACCGTGCGAGAGGCACCTCAAGTCTCCCTAGGTGACAGGAGACGCCACGGACTCTTCTTCGGCCCTATGCCCAGCCCAAACTTGCCCAAACTCCTTTCAGGGTACTATAAGGACACCTCAGCACTCAGGTGTGGCACCAAAAGACAACGAAATCACTGATGTTATATATATATATATAGATGCTTCTACTATGCTGAACTGATGAATGGGATCAACCGAGCGTGGACTGATGTCTCTGCCCAAGCAAAAGAGCCTGCCCGCCCTGCGCTGACCAACCGGTCTTTTCTCGCCGGGCCCAGGCCCTGCAATCGGGACTAGTCCTCCAACAAGGAGCCGTCCCAGAAGGATTCCTCGGGTGACACAGCCGACGGTCAGCCGACGGGTTCATTGATGGTTATTGATGGCCATTGATGGGCTGAAGATGGCTAAGCGGCTAAAGATCGACGGCCAACCTGTTGGGATTTGGCATTTGATCGTCTTTGGGGGGAGGTGGACGGTGGGCTCTGAAGGCCCTTCGCGAATACTGGCCAAAGCTATAGAAAATAAGGTGGGTGGACCCAAAGCGCCATTGCTTCCATGCCCTTCTTCCAGTGGAAAGCACCGCACGAAGCGGACATCAATTGGTGACTCGGTGGACTTTGGAGCTTCAGCAACTTCTTAGATTCTTCAGGCCAAAGATCACTTGCCCATCCAAACCAGGCAAAACAAAAAAAACATATTATAAAACAATAGCCCTTCCAGAACTGAAAAGCTGAGGGTTATTGAAGGTGCGTTGTCTGTCTCTCCCCTGAAGTGACCCCCCAAGAAATGGCTCCACTTTCAGCACTCCAAGATCTCGGTCTGATCCTCCAAGCGTCCATATCAATGGGCACGACCGAATCCGTGCACCAACACTCCCCGCTGTCCACTTTGCCTGGGAACATTGACGTCGGTAAACATCACATCTGCTCGGGGTGAAGACAAAAAGTAAAAGCAAACTAAAACAAGAAAGAACTTATTATGCAACTTAGTAGATTAAAATATATGATATGCCTATAGAACCTGAATGACCCCTATTTTGGATCACCAACCACCCAAAATAAGGCCTTTTCCTATCAAAACAAAGGTCAAATGGGCTCTAGGTATAGGCCGGCTTTCTTCGTGTGAACTAAGCAAACCAAGCCTTAAACATCCATCCTCCCTCGCCAAACTCGACATGTGTTCCAGAACTCGCAGTTCCCTCGGCGTTCCAAGGAAGAACAAGGGCAACCAAAGAATGGCAACAGAATGGCAAGCAAAATGACGCATGCAATGAATCAAAATGAATCATCACAACTCAACTCGCAAATAATCATCCATGAATATACAATAGCACCATCACAACTCCCATGAACTTCCTGTCCATCTATCCACGGTGCTGAGGGAGAGTTCCCACATGTAACTTTGCGATGTGCTGGAGCTGCGTGGACCTCGACTGCCGGGGTATCAAATCGCTCACGGACCGTCGTCTCTTGGACAACCGGCAGTGCATGGCAGATTGGGATTGGACATGATTGGGACGAAAGCAGTTTGGGTGCAGTCCGGGCAGAGTGGGGGGGGAAGTATCTGCATCTGCCAGGCTATACTATACTTTAGGAATCGGTTGCTCCTTTCACTTGCCGACAAGTTGAATACATTTAATGGCACTTTCAAGTGTTCTTTATCCTTTCCCCATATCTGGCAAGCATAAAGGGTTCATCATGCTTTTCCCATGAATGACATTGGCTGCACATATCATATTTATATATCTCAACCTGCACAAAAAACACACAGACTTCCCGATCTTGGACTTCTCTCACCAGACATCTCCCATTCTGGAAGCCAGGTGTCTTTCAGAGTTCCAGAACGTCACCACGAAGGTCTGTCGAAGGTCTCGTCGAAGGTTCCTGGAACATTCCAGTCGGTCCTCCTCCACGAAGAAACGCTCGCAGCCCAGCATCGCTGAGTAGCCTCAGACTGAACAGGGGGGAGCCGTCTATCCACATCGGAAAACAGGACGCAATACGCCCAGTGGCGCGAGGGAGCTTCGAAGAGACGTGCAAAGCGCTCGAATGGTCCTTGCGGTGAACCGTTGGCACCGGCGACCCTCGTGGGCACCCGAAGAAGAAAAGGCCCGGTACCCACGGCTTTAAGGTGCAGGTGTGTGTTATGAGGACCTTTGCACATCTTCATCTTCTTTCCGCAAAGGTCCTCCTTGGGATACAGGATGATACAGGTCTACAAACTACCAATTCCTTTGCGCAGGTTGATTTGTTGAGCAACGATATGTTGGCATCTCATGAAATTGAGGTTTCTCGAATGGTGTTTCAAGCTCCTTTTTGCTGATGAATCCGAATCTTTGAAGAGCACAAGCTGCTCTGAGCACCAAGCGTCCTGTCATCAGCTTGTTGAGGGGTGATGCAAAGCGAAAACAAACGTCGACCCGGCCACAATGCAGAGCATAAGCCTGTGTGATCACCACCTGGCGCGGTTTCGCCCAAAGGGATGCTGGTCTCAGGTGTCATCGAACAGTACGATCTGGTGTCTCGGCTCGGGTATTGCCAAGTGCGTCGCCTCGATCGTTCGCGGCTGAACCGGAGGAGACCAACTGATGAAAACATCTGAGAGAAATACCAAAAACTCGGATTCAGCAAGTACAAATGCAAACACGTACCATCCATGCAATCCTCTTGCGCAACACCGGAAAAACAGCATGCTCGCATTTTTGCGTTCTCATTCGGTCCGGACAATGAAAGAAAAGGGAAACCCCATCACAGTAGACTCTGTTTTTAAAGCCGCTGCGGTCCCTTGACCAGCCACAACTCTTGTTTCAACATGATCCACCTCCAATTCGACTAAATGCTTAAAGCAAAGCTCGCTTGCGAAGGAAAGTTTACATCTCTTCAACCCCTCTCCGTGGATGCCCACCTTTCGCTGAACAGTCTCCGGCCGTCCAGCCTCACGCGGCGTCAGCTTCGGGCTTGGCTGCACGGACAGCGTATGAGAAATCTGCCTTCGCCGGAAGCACCAAATGCACACACGACCCAACCGCCACTCCACACGCGACGGCACTCCACACGCTGCCACCAGTAGCAATTCTTGAGTATCTCTAACTCGATGCTTTCAGAATGGCTCCCCTTGATTGCAATTGTTGAGAAAGTGCTCATTTACACCATCTGACAAATGGATACAAATGGTGTATCTACCACGTCTTGAAATCTCACACAGGACTTTCAAGACTAATCCAAATCTTTCCAGGTTCCAGCGGCAAGTAGCATAAACCAACTGAGCTGAAGGGCCAACTAGCTCTGACTTAACGTTCAACTCTGGCGTCACGCCACGAAGCGTAGTCTGTCTCACTGTGGGTGCTCCCAGTGGGACGGTATGGCTCTGGCGCTCGTCCCACCGCGCTCATCCCCCAAGCCACCCGCCTGTCCGTGCCTGTGGGCCAGGAGAGGAAGCAGAAGGGAACCGGCGCCACCCGGGGACCGTCCAAGAGAACGGATCGGGGGACCCCCCTTCCGTTGGAGGGCCCAGATTCTGCAGGTGAATTTGAATGTCTAGGGCCGTGATGAGCCGTGAGATGTTCAACAACAACTTCTATTTCACGGCACGGTGTAAATGGCCCAAGTAGAAGCGGAATCGCAGTCGATGAGGATTGTGGAAAGATGTGGATATGGGAAGAAGGCACCCCGCTCTGCGGGTTGCGGCTTACCTGGCTTATCATCCAAAACTCGTCCATGGTGGGCTGAGGACAGCCCCCCCAACCAAGCAGTTCATACACTTTTTCCCGGTTCCTACGCTTGTTTCAAGTCACCCTGGCCTTGTGCTTCCCGCAGCCATTGCTCTAAGCTTCGCCAGGGCAAACGCCAGCAAAAGCGCAGGTCCCAGCACTGGCAGCGCGGCGCGGCACGCCTGGCTGCGGCACGCCGCGAGCTGTGCTTTCGAAAGTGCCAAAAGTAATAGCCTCCAAAAGTAATAGCTTCCGGGGGGGTCCTTTCGGATGTCGCATGGAATGGCTTGATGCTTGGAGCACCTGCGTTCTCGTGTTCCAAGCTGATCAATCCATGTCATCATCGAGCGGAAGTGGCACAAAACAACAACCGATGTGCAGGGACTTCGTAAGAAACCTTGGATTCAGGAGGTATCAAAAGCCTGCCAAAGGCATGAAGATGGTCAAACATCTACAACCACAGCAAGAGAAGTAATCCCTAAAGTGTCTCTAACTCCTAGCCACCTCATGCCACCTCGCCCAAACTAGAGCTCCGAAGGAAAGCAAACACAGGAACAAAAACATGTCGTTCATCCAGCTCTGCCCCATCACCCCACCGCCATCGACACGCACGGTTTCGTACTGGACCGCTCGAGGAGGCCTGAGTTCCAGGAGGCCTTCGGCCGTGATGCTCACGCCATGGAGGTCCAGGAGCCGCAAGTTCGGCAGCCCCTGATGGTCCATTTATATATGGTCAGGTTTTAATGGAGATCAGGAGTCCTGTAGGACTTTATATGATTCGATTAACCTATAACACCTACGTTTTTAATGGAGATCTATCGACCTGACCTGATGGTCTATTTGAAAACTCTCGATTAACCTTGGCATACCTTGTACCTCCGTGAGTGGCATGGGGGTTCCAGCAGCTGCCAACAGGTCCACTGTTCAATGCAAGTGGCATGGTGTTCGTTTTTGGAACTTTCCTCCAGAACTTTTGGGCACCTTCCTCCACACCCCATCCTCGAAAGCAATTGAGCATGACTGATCCTTTCTTCGCCTTCAGCAGCAACGTGAGTTGATGCCAGGAGTCGTCCTTGACCCCAGGACACCTCGAGTTTATTCGCCACTGCACAGATTCGGCGGGTTGCAAGTCTTGTGGCTTAATGTTCCAGATGAGAAGGAATGTCGTTCCTCAACTTGTCAAGCTGCTTTGTTGCATGTTGTGGCTACTCACACTGCATCACGGCCTAAAAACTCATCCTTCATCGTGGTGACCCTCCTTTAAGTCCTTGTTCCCAAGCACGGATCATGACCTTCTTCCGCGCCCGCTTCAAATATTACATCATTGTTTGCAGATCCCTTCACAGCAGGGCCCATCGGCATCCAAGCAGCTCAGGCGCCACGCGCAGCTCCGTGCAACGCTCCATGGCCAGCTGCAGCAGAGCACGGCTCGCGGTCCGCAGCGCGCCGCTGAGGCGGTCGTGCTGGGCCGCGGTCAAGGCGGCAGCCAGGAGGTCGTCCATGGCAGATGTGATGTGAAGCGCCATCATGGCAGATGGATGGGAACCATACTACTAGGAGCAAGAAGCTACTAGGTGGAGGCCATCGCTATGAAGTTGGAGGCCATTGCTACTAGGAGCAAGAAGCTATTAGTAACAAAGGATGATGGTCAAGATCTTCAGAAAGCTGGGAGCTGTTTGAGGTGGAGTCACGCGGGAGGAGATGTTGAGGAGACTTTGGGGGCTCGGGGGAGCGTTTCTTCGAATGATTGGTCTTTTGAGAGGGGTCTGGATATCTCTTGCATGGTGCTGTGTGGTATCGCATCGTGCTTTTGTTGACCCCCCCTCTCTTTGTGTCATAATTATAAAAGCTGTCAGCCACAGGCAACAGATGTCGACATGACAAATCCGTGGGCTACAAGTATACTTTCTCTCCAAAGAGAGTTCTTCAGCTCAATCGCTGGTATCGTTCTGTGCTGGGGGTGGGATACGACGGGGAGATCTCGTCCTGTCGGAAGTGGCGCTTGCGAGCGGTCGGGAAGCGGCCAACGGTGCGTCGGGACCGCTCCGTGTGTTTTTCAAAAACGCGAGATTCCTGCCCGTTCTGCCGGTGAACAGCTTGAGATGAGAAGTATATGAGTTTTGCAGACTCATTCTTATCAGAGCCGTTAAGGTTACCTTCTGGGTATGGTTGGTGTTCCCAGGAACTGAGCCCATTCAAGAGGCTCTGAAATCAGACTCCATGATGTTCATGAAGTGGATATCAGTGTGAAGAGGCGCCGGGTCCTTTTTCTCATTCTCCTCTTCCTCCTCCTCCTTCTCAGTCTCGCTTTCAGCATTCTCATCCTGCAGCTAAATCAAGAACACCCCAGAGCAATATCTTTTGTCTTGTCCCTGAAACGCACCAAATGTGGGTTGAACAAGTGACACAACAAGTGACATCGGTTGAACAGCTTGCTCATGGCATTTCGGATGGTTTCGGTCTCGATCTTCGCTCCGTAAACCCAGCCGCCTTGAGCACAACCGGGTCACCAGGTGGCGCCTCAGAGGCTTCTGCAAGGGCCCACGGCAGAGAAAAGTCTTGACTTTGAGGCTCCAAAGAAGTAGACATGTCATGGGCAACATTGTCCTGCAATTTCCACCAAAATCTTCCAATCCGTGAGGGCACTAGATTGAGAATCCAACAACCTACCAACAACAACCTACCAACAACCTACCCTTCACCCCCGCCCTGCAGTTGCTGCAAACTGTATGCTGCTCCAAGTATGCCTTGGTAGCGCTTGCATCGGCCTTTAGCGCAAAACACCGCCCTAGGCCTCCACACAGGGGTTCCCTCCGACTCGAAGATCTCAGGTCTCGAGGGGGGGCTGCTTGGGCGCCTGCTTTCCTGCGGGTTTACGGATCAATCCGGATCCGTGAGACTGAGACTTCATTGGGGGGGTTGCAAATCAACCACCGTTACCGGTGCAAAGTCTGACAACTCCCCCCCCCAAAAAAAGGACTCGATCAGGCTTCAAAGCGGTCAGGTGAAATGAACGGGTTTAAAGGATGGGATTCTCTCACTTGTCAAGCTCAAGTGGACGCAAAAGCTGAGGGAAAAGCACTGATAGCAGTTATTGATGTAATACCATGGATCTACCCAGGCTGAGTTATGAGTTTGGTAGAGGGATCAACTAAAAATCCATGCCCTAAAAGTGATGTTCTAAAAACATCTAAAAACCTGTATCTTTTAAGGAACCCTGTGCATGCGGATGAAGAGCTGAGATGTACACGAGTGAAGAGCTGAGTCGTTCGTTCGTGACCGAGCGAGTGAGCCACGTCACCTGCGACCTGAAACAGTGAGAAAGTTAGTTGGTGAAACAGTGAGTTGGTGAGTCAGCGCAAGTGAGGGAGCGGAAATGAGTGAGTGCTAAATGAGTTCTGAGGAGACGAGACCAGGATGCAGAGTAAAAGTGAGAAGCCCACACAAGAAAAAAGCAGAACGGCCAACTGTGTCATCTGTGCTCGTCATCGTCAGAGCACCGCCCTCCGCCGCCCTCCGCCCTGCCTAGGTGGACGGAAAACCAGGCTCGGCTACTGTCACCATTGGGGTCGCCGCGCCTGAAAAGAAGTCGCCCGGGTCTCCGACGAAAACGAACGTGACGAAGACGAACGTTCGCGAGACGAACGTGGCGGGAGAGTCGGGTCTAGTCTTGGGGGAGGTGCAAGGAGTGCGAGACGGCGCTAGTCGGAGGTGTTTTTTTTCCCCTACCACAAGGATCGGGTTTTCCTCGTTGGAGCATGGAACCCATGTATCGCATACTGCATCGCCGGGGTTTTAGAGGGGATGCACTGCATTCATCTTGTGAATTGAGGGCTGCTATGGACATCATTTAACAGGTTCCCCAACGACTAGAGTAGGAGATAGTGAGAGTTTCCCTATGATGATGCAATTGCACATCTTGGATCTTTGATTCCATAGCATTGTGCCTGTCTTCAACTATATACCCGGAGCCAACGTAGCCAACACGGGATGCACATCTGCCTCAGGCGCATGGGCAAGACCACGATGGAGCCGTCCTGGCAGTGGGACGGCCACTGCGTCTGGCAGCGGAGAGGTGCGACGTGGCGATGCAGCGCAGCAACATATCGTCGAAAACAACCCGAAGCCTGAAGCCAGCAGCATGTACAGGGGCAGGAGAGGTGGACAAGCGTGAGAAAACCCTTAGTCATTCTTATGCTGTTCATTTCTTTTCTAATCTTTTCTACATGAATTCCATAACTGCTCAAAGACTTCATTCGCGCAACTCACATTCTCAAACCATTCCCTTCTTCGCACAACGACGGGACAAGGTCCTCCACTGGTATCACTTCACCCTTGGCAATCCTTTTGAGGATCCCCCTGGCACGAAACCGCATCGCTTGGACGGATGAAGCCCGAAGCGAACTCTTCCCGGTGAAGCCGTCGCCGTTTCAGAGCTAAAGCTGATATGTGTGTCAAGCGAACACCATGCAACACCAAGCACCTGAACGCAACCCAAACGGATCTTGCTCCAGGGCTTGGTCTTTCAGTCGACTAAATATGGCAATGAGGAGGAGTGCAAGCTGCAGCAAGCTGCCGCTACGCAGCTGCTATGCTGAAAACGTGCGTCTGCTGTTCTAGTTGTTCGTCTACCACTGTTCGGGTCAAAGGAACGGACTGTTCGGACTGTTCTATGCCAGACACGTGAGTCGTAGCCAGTCCCGCGGTCTGGATCAAAGAGATAAACACTCAAAATGACCTCTCTCAGGACATCTCGAAACCTTGAAAAGGACGCTAAAAAACGGTGGAGGCCATCGAGGCCATTACTAACAAGAAGCTACGAACGTAACATCTAGTTAACAAAAGGTTCCCATTCTTTTGGGCGATCTTTCACCCTCACCGCCCTCGGACCGCCCTGAACCATCGACGCTACGCCGTTTGTGCTTTGGGCGCGCCCGGGCGGCGCCAAGCCGGTGCCGTTGGAGGAGAGATCACGGAGTCCCAGGCGCGGCTTGGCCTGCACGGCTTCGGTGCTTCCGAAAAACGAAAAAAAAGGGGGTCGTGGCAGGGAGCAGAACAGAACATGAAAAAAAGTGGTATATCCTGGTCCTCTCATTCTTATAGATGTGTCAATTAGTGCAAGTTAACGCGTTTGAGTTACTGACCCATGTTGCAGTGACTAACCCAAAATACCTTGGCAGTAGCTCCTCCTTGTGGTCCGACCAATGGTCCGGCGAGGACCATCAACTCCCTTAAGGGTCGGAACCAAAACTGCCATCGATGCTAACAATGGGTCAGTCACTTCATGGTCACCAGGGGTCTTTCATTCCTTTCTCGCAATGAAGTCCACTCTTTGACCAAAAATGACATGGTTCACTTTCGTTCACGAACTCGACGGAGAACTTCGTCCGCGAACCTTCATCCTCGGGATTCGAGCGTAATCCCTCCGTATAAGTCGTTGTGGGTTCGGAGGTCCTGCCACTCAGAAAGTCCTCCGGATGTGCGGATTTGACATGGATTGGAGACATGAATCTTGACACGGATCCTCGACTCCATCACTCTCATCGTGACCTTTTTGGAGACCAGCTTTGGATTTCCAAGTCAATGGCGTTCTCAAGTACTTTTGCTGCATCTTCTGGTGTTCCGGGAGTGCGTTTAACGCACTCCCGCTGCACACTCCCCAACAGGTCGCCCAGTGAAGGAGCGGGCGATTCCGCCATCATTCGAAGTCGATGGTCAACTCTTGAAGCTCTGTGTCTGCCATCTGGTCCTCCGCCTGGCAGCAAAACCAAAAGAACTTCCCTGGCTCGTAGGATGGGGAGCTCGAGCACTTGGGCAGTGCCAGTGGCGATTGAAAGGCTGTCGTGAGCATCAAGACCAACAACAAGGTATAGACCACACCTTCCAACTCGGGGAAGTATGAGCCATACCAAGCTGAGTGGACTTGGAGAGCCACACCAAGAATGACCGAAGTCAAGATCACCACTCTGCTCACCAGATGAGAGCAGCAGTCAAAACGAATAAAGGGCTTTCGGATCATGTATCCCAAGCAGATTTGAGCACGTTGCTGTCGAAAGCTCAAGACACTCTCCTCCTTCAGTCGTGAATACTGTTCACCGATCACTCCGATAAAGATATTCAAGACAATCACCGTGAAGACCGCCACCGCGAGGACCAAAAGGATGCATTCTAAGGGATCCTCTTCAGGGCGAGTTGTGTTGTGGCAGGTTGGGGTGACCAGGTGACACCTTCCAAAGGCAACACTTTTCGGTGTACTCAGACGATCTTCAAAGGAATCGAACATATTCTTGAACCCTCTTGGAGTCTATCCCTGTTCCTCTTTGGGTTGTCCCGGCATCCCTGCAGTGATCAGCATGACAAAGCTACTGTAGAGCGACAGGTCTATGTCGCCACCTTGGAGGGAGAAGAAGGCATGGCTGTAGGCGCCAAAGGCGATGTATGCCTCACCCGGCCGAAGCGTTCGTCGCCACCCACGGCGGGCCGTGACCGAACGATCGATGGGTCGTTTCGAGGCTTCTGGGCATGTCCG